CTGTGCACGATATTTAATGTCTAGTACATAGATAATTTATAGATTAATATCCGATTGAAGCCCAAAAAATTATGTAAATATGTTCAGGCAATATTCTGTATTGTTGAAAATCGTTCATTGTTTATGAATTATGCCAATTACCCCCATTGAAAGTTTATAAAAGAGGTTGACGAGCTGAGTATATATAAACTTCTGCCTCTATTAGAGACCTATAACATTTCGTTTTTTATTCCATGCAGCACTTAATCAAGAACAATTTAAGTTAAGAAAATACGATTTATAGCCTGTATTTAAATATTAGTATAATAACTTATTGCCTTAAGGATCGAACCATAAACAAAGAAACTATTTTAAAGTTAGTTAGTTTGAGTTCATTTATCATAGTGTAAATTTAAGAGAGCAAATAGAAGCTGAAGGCGTGTTTTGATACTCTAAGTTCATTGAAAATGGGTATAAAAGGCTAACATACCCATATGAACTCAGAGTTTTTTGTGGAAATGTGTGTAACAGGCAGAAGGAGGCTTCTCCGACCCCAAAAAGTGCATATAATCCTGGTCAGCATTAAATGCTAAGTGTCTTAGCCATGAATGTCTGTCTGTCCAAAGTCAACATAAATATTAAGTACAAGAAACCCCCCAGTTTTGTAGGGTATCTATTGATAACATAAAACGCATATGCACAACTCAAAGTTTGTATTTTTAAACTCTAACTACGCAATTTGAAAGATATATTTGGCAAATATGAATATCTCCTTAAGAGAGCTGAGAGTAGATTTACCTTCAACCGAAACCCCTTACAAATTTTCTTATTCACTGACTTTTATAATAAATATGCATATGTAACCAATTCAGTTGACTTCGGGTCGAGCCTAATGCACAGTCGACTGCAATATGAGAGTGTACAAAAGATATTCCAAGTGGGTGAGTGGTGGAAAGCATTTGGCCCGGGTAGCTATGAAATACGATTGTGCTGCATTAGGTCAAATGTCTGATAAAATTGAAATGTTTCACATGTTGTGTGCGTGCGTGTGTATGGTGGTGTGTGGGTGTGTGTGTGAGTGGTAAGAGAATTAATTTTTGAACTTATCAAGTGGGCTTTCAATTGGCAAGCCCACAACTAACCGCTGCCCAGTAAAAGGTTACATTTCGTGAGTGCACTCATCATACTTACATATGGAACGGGCGTACGAGGAGTGCGAGTGGGAGCGTGAGGATATGTATAAGTGCGGACATGGCTACCTTTTTATTGTTGGCAGCAAAAGCAGAGCAGCAGCTGAGCTGCCTGGCAGGTTGCATTGCAAATTTGCAGCCGAACATGCAACGTGCATTTGGCAGTCAGCACAATAACCAGATGCAGGCAATGGGTAGGGATTCTTTCGGCTGGGGCATGTGAGGGGGTAAAAGCCACAGACGCTGCCAATATTGACTGTGACTGAGCCAACGAGCTGCCGCTGCTGCTGCTTCTTTCTTTTTTATGTATCCTTGCATTGCGATGCGAGTATTTTTAATAAAATAAACTCAGAAATGTAATCAACATAAAGGATTTCACACAAGCGTACCATATACAATATATGTATATATATATATATATATATAGTATATGTGAAATGTGAAATGATCTCTGTGTGCGCATTGGAACGCTTAACGAGATACGTAGCTACGAGATACACGTAGATATCATTGACGATATACCCACCTACAGCCACCCACAGAGATACACTCGCTTCCACTCTGTTGTATGAAGCAGAGGCAGATAGAAATGAGAGAAGAAAAAAACCGAACCCTTTATGAAATGCTGCAAGCAGGACATCAATGCAGTCAGCTGTATGAGTGTGTGTGCGTGTGTATCTTTGAGATACATTTGCAATTATCGTGACTTGAGCTTGCAGTAGCTGCTGGGCCCCAGACCTGGGACAGCTGGCCACATGTCGGTGACAGTTTATTAAATCGATTACTTTCGGTTTTGATATTCTAAATAAACATATTTTTACAAGCCAGCCGGGCCAGAATTCCGGGCGGACCACCCACCGTTTGATGGTCATTTTTGTTGTACAACTATTTTTGTTGTTGTCGTTGTTGTTGTTGTTGTTGTAGCTGTTGTTGCGGTTGTGTAGCTCGTTGATGAGCTGTTGTTGGGCAACTCGTATCTGCTGCTGAGGTTGAGATTTGCAGCTGAAAAATGTATAAATTCGTGACGGCAACAAATGCTCGTACTTGGTATCTGGCTCGAGAAGCTCCTCGTTGCACGCTCCTCCGCCTGCTATGCTCCTCGTTGCCCCGCCCCTCACCACCTTGCTGGCCATTGTGCGGAGCCAGACATGCGATGTGGACGCAGCCAGAACAACGTTTTGAGAGATTAGTTTATTGTTAATCAAAAAAGAAGGCAAAAATATCGTTTTTGCATTAAATTGACTTTGAAATTGACAGCGTTTGAAATTACGAGCTGTGTATCTGGCAAATGCATTCAAATTGCTCGTGACTTATTCTCTGTGTGTGTGTGTGTGTGTGTGCGGTCTGTGTTGGCAAATGGCGTGTGGGGGTTGTGGCAGGTGTTTTGTGGCCAGAATAGCTTTCACGTTTATGCATAATTCTAATCAATGTTTGTTACTGATTTTGACATTTGCTTTCTGCCCAAATTGGCAAAAGTTGTTGCTGTTGCCAATTTTGTTGTCATTCGGGCCATTCAAGGGCTGTAAATTGATTTCGTTCATGCTTTAAACACACTAAAAATTTCAAGCCAATCATTTGCAATGCAAATAACACAGTTGACATATTTATATAATCATATCGCTAATTTGGCCCATTGTTTGCTTATCAAATATGAATTTTAATTAGATTAAATCTCAACAATTTAATCACTGAAAATTCCATCATAAACAGAAGTTTGCATAACCTTGAAGTCTTTTATTATTTAAAAAACAACGGTCTGGATAATTTGAAGCAAAACGCTTTCGGTTAAGTTTAGAAATTTGATTAATTTGAGAAATTAGCAGAGTCTTTTTAGTTACCTATTAAATTACTTTAAGAACTTAGTCTTCAACTGATAGCTTAAGATACAAAACATGCTTCAAAACTTAGCGCTTCGTATATTATTCGTGCAAAATATCTAGTTGTCTAGAGTTTGGCTCCCATGGCGATTTCTCGGCCCGTCAGAGCTTCCACATTTTATAACTCCTAGTGCTCGATATGAACATCAGCGGAGCTGCACAGACGCCATCGATGGCTGACCGTTGGGTGCTGTGATTAACACAATTCCCTTCTCCAAATGGCCACATGGGGCGCAGACTCTGGCGCAGGCGGACAAACGGACGGCAGCCAACTACCAGAATGATGCTGAATTTAGAGGGGCGCCAAGCGTCCGATGGAGCATGGATCATTGCATGTGGGGCTGGTGATGGCGGCGGCGTCGTCGTCGTCGTCGATTGCGTGCACATGATGTGGGCAGGCGCATCTTTCATGTATCTGACCAGGCAGCTGCTGTTGCTGCTGCTGATGTGCATTTGATGATGGTAGTTGTTGCTCCGTGGCCGCAAAAACGCTTCTGGGTTGAGAGCGGCAACAACAACAACAGCCACAATAATGGCAATGAGCACAAAAATTGAATTTACAAGCGCACAAACTAGAAAACAACACGTTCAACATACAAAAACTATGCGATGCAATAATTTAAGAGTTTTTTGAATAATTGCCCGGCAGCAAAAGCAGCAGCAGCCACATGCACCAATACGTCTTGTTGCTGCCGGCTAATCAGCAACAAACACACACACAAGCACATCCTGACACACTTTGGCAACATGCGCGATGCCACATGCAACATTTTGAGGCACAATGAAAGTAAAAGCAATGGCAACTAACTCATGAAGACGACGGCGATGGCAGTCCCCATAAATTGTCAAGTTTAATGCGACACAGCGAAGAAACGAATTCAGGTCTGAGGCTTCACTGTCCAGCGGATTTGCATGTTCATCATAAAAAGCAACCTCAATGCAAAGGCAAACTTCAGACAAAGACAAGCAAACGAATCACAGTTGTTGCTGCTGCTGTTGCTGGCGTGGAAAGAGCAACAACTGTTGCCTCACAGCGACAATAATTGCCCTGATCAGAGCAAGTATGTATGTACGTGTTGCTGGAGCGAAACGAAAACAGAGAAAAATACTTGCACGATTAAGAAACTGAGATAAAATTCTGGCATATATGCTAATATTATATCTTCTAGGACTCATATATATAGAATAGATAAGTGTATAATGAAATTGAAATTGAATTGAAAAATTCGCAGAAAAGGATTGCATTATTTTTGGGCTTACCATCCGATTAAACTCATTCTCAAAGATCTTCTTTCACTTTTTTTTGGTTTATATTTTACGCAATACTAAGAATTATAAGATGTTGCAGAGGGGGTCCCTAATAATTCACTTGCACCTAATAATTACATTCTGGCAATTTAAGAATACCCATATAATGATATCATGTGCTGAGAAAAGGCAATCACACGAGTAATACTCGTGGTACGAAAAAGAATTTTATACGAATTTAAATAAGAGTACGGGTACGAGTACGACTACGAGTACTCGCAGTTGCAATTGCATATTCATGTGGGTGGCAGTGGCACAGCCCCGTCCACGTGCCTCTGGCAACATGTGTATTGCATATGTCGATGTGTGTGTGTGTGTGTATCTTGTATCAATTCAACGCCTAATTGATTGTGCTTGCAATTGTCTGGGGTCCCCGACTGGGAGGAATGTCAATGCTAATAATCGCCATGTAAATTGACTATGAATTTCAAATTGTCTGCTCAAAAGTGTTTTGGTCACATTTAAATGGCTCGTGCCCGGCTGCAAAGAGCTTAACTGATTGATGCATTGCCCCCTCCCCTCTGATTCCGACCAATTCACAGCTAACTGGAGCATTATTTTAATCCATCAATAAATTGGCGTCATCTAAGCGACATTTATGAATTGTTGTCGTCGCGTCGTTGGCCTTGGCTGGTATCAAACTTACTTGGACAGGTGGAAATACTCTTTGGGCTCTATTTGCCTGAGCACCGCAAGTCTGCCCCGCTTTTGTCTACCAATCCGATCGTGTGTGCACTCTTGTCATCCGATCTCCGTGGCTGTCCGCTGTGCATTTTTCTCATGGTGCCAAAGTCCTAAATTACTGCGGACTGGTTTGCGTTAAATAATGATGCCTGTCAAATCCAACTGACAGCTGAGCTAATAATTGCTTGATTACTCGAGCTCTAAACGAGCTGCATTCAAGCCAGCGGGGAAAAGAGTATGTAGAAAAGTTTCTGTTATAGAAAAGCTTGGCTCAAAATTTTACAGCTGTCGATGATTGAGATGCATATCTTTAAATTTACTTAAAAAGCATAAATAAGTTAATACAATAAGTTTACTTTAGTGTTAACTTTTATTATTAACTTTTATTATTTATTATCCCAATTTATCTAATGCTTATTTCACACCTTTACAGGTCCAGTCTTTGATCAAGTTGTATAAAAGAAGACATTATCTTCCTTAATCGCACGCTGTGACAAGGTTAAATAACAGCCATTGAATTCGAAGCAGCGCATAAATTGAAATTCGCCCAATTTAATTTCAACTCGAGACATTTAATATTGATTAATTTTTGGCTCGCTCTCTTAATAGCCTCGCATCTACACTCGCTGGCTTGCCGCAGAGTGATGGACAGATACAGATGCAGATACAGAAACAGATACATTTACAGATACTAACAGATACATGTGCTCAAGAAGCTGAGGACTAAGACCCAGGCGCATCGTACCGTAAATAAATATAAACATAAATCTGAGAGAGAAGAAGAACGAGAAGAAGTAAAAAAAAAGAAGAAGAAACTCATTGAAGACAACATCCCCAATTGACGGTAAATCACTCAAGATGACATCTATCGATGGGGCCCGCCAGATAAGAGAGCGTTTCGTCTCGTTTTCGCACTTTTACACAATCAACTCGGGCACGTCGAAGACACCGCGCAGAAGTTGCAAACAAACACCACAGCCAGAGCCACACAGAGTGACGCGTCCGGGGTCCTCGCTGGGGATTGGGATTGGAAATGGGAACGGGAATGGGCTTGGGAATGGGAATGGGAATGGGACAGCCGACATAATCATGAAGCATGCCAACTTGACGTCATTGCAATTTAAAGCTAGGCCACGCCGTCGAGCGCATTCGATACAAAACGACGCCAACAGCCCCCAAAGTGACAAATCAAAGACGAAATCGAACCACCCAACAAAGTACAAGAAACCAACTATGTATTACTACCATTCCATGCCAGACCCACCGACCAGGCTAACTTGAAGCAGTCCAATGACAAACTCGCACAGACTTTGTGGTCTTACTTTGATACGGCACAGTGGAGCAAATATGGGAATAAGGAGTTAAAAATTCGAATCGCCCAATCATGGAATATATAGTTTTATGTGTAAAAATATCTACACTTAGTTATGCGTCTCACTTGGAAATTTAAACACATGATAAAAGCAATGGAAAAAGAGTTCGATAAGATTGAACAAAATTGGTGAGTTTTAAAATATTACACATAATTATGTTTATTTGGATTGCTCAAAATTGATGAGCATGTCTATGGCAAAGAGAAAACCAATCCTAAAAAGTACTGACAAAAAAGAAAAACATTGCATATTAATATATATATATTTGGCTGAAATATGACTTTTGGAAAAACACAAGTTTTTTCATCAGCTTATTGGCGGAGTTCAGCTTGACTCTGCAAATAGTTGAACTTAAGTTCACATTCCACTGTGCCTGCGACAGTAGTCGGTCAATGAGCGTAGGAGAATACGAGACTGCAACGAAATGAGTGATTTATTGGCAGCCCATTGAATTGAAGTTGATGGCAAAAGACAAGAGGGAGAGGCGCAAGAAAGAGACAGAGACGGAGAGAAAGAGACAAGTTGGGCTTGGCCACAAATGAGAGACAAAGACATGAAGTAGCTAAGAGTGAGCAGTGAATAAGATGTGTAAGTGTTGACAGACAGACTGGCGGTCTGACTGACTGACAAACTGGCAGTGAACAGCGGCGACGCCATTGTCGCCCCCTTAAATCCCCTCTCCTCCCTGCAGCACATGTGAAGCGTCCCAAAAATTAAATGTGGCAAAGTGGTTGGGGGTTGGGCTGTGTGGAAACGGAAGAACAGTTCGATAAGCGTAAAATGAAGGCAAAAGGCGTCTAGTGGTTGTAGCTGTAGTTGTTCTTGTTGTTGGCCGGACTGTGATATATCACACGCAACATTAAATCAAACCCAAGAAATTGCCGGGCCCAAGACATGGAAGGTGTGCGAGGCCGAGTAAATGATGGCCGGGATTCCTTTTAGCTGGCAACTGCGACTCACATCGCCTGTCACATTGACAATTTACTACCAAAAAAAAAAAAAGCAGGAGGATAGAGAAGAAGGCAGAGACTGGCAGTGTAAGCGAGACAGCGATAGACATTGTTGGCTCGCACTTATCTGATGGATTCCTTGCTATTTTTCTTCACATGTTGTCCTCCTCGACGTCGTCATCGTCTCCGACCCCGTCTTCGTCTCCATCTCTGTCCCCATCGTTGCCGGGGCGTTGAGCACAGTAACGAACTTTCCGTGTTGTGCAATTTGAAAGCTCAGCAGTATTGAAACAGCAGCAGCATTGGGGTAGGGGGTTGGGCTTGGGCTAAGGGCTGGGGCAGCACTAAAGAGTGAACGAGACCATGAATAATATTTATGAGGATGAAATGTTCCCAAAAGCGACATAAATATGTCCACAGCACCCGCACATGAAACGCGCCTCAGCATAAAATGCGTTGAAATGCTGAGCAGCATCAGTGGAAAGAGAGGAAGTGAGAGAGAGAGAGAGAGAGAGAGAGAGAGAGAGTAATAGGGAGAGTAGAAGATGAGGGTTGTGCGTGGTTAGATATGCTTTGTGGCTGCAACCAAGTTCTAGGAGCAACAGCAAAAGACGAAGATCTGTCTTATAACAGTTAGTAGCTTATTTATACTACAATAATACAGCTTATAATTACTATATCTGAATATAGTATTACCTAGGCCTGCTAGCAGTACATAATAATATCCACTAAATATTAGTTTATCTAGGGAGATTAACTAGATATAAGATATATCAGAGATATCGGTTATCTGAGATTATTACGAATCACATATAAACTTTAAGATAATAGTACTTATTATTATTAATTTTTAACAAGTTCGTTAAAGTTATTTTATACTATCTCAGATTTAAGGAAATTACACATATTTATAATTTCCCAAACTGAAATTGAAAGAGTTTACGTATGGGCAATATATAATAATAATATTATTTTATATGAATAGATATTTTGACTTTTTGAATGAGATACATTTGCTTTAATTTATTATAGCTTAAAGTAGACTGTCCTTTTCTTTAGCTTTAGTAAAATAGAGTGTACAATTGAAATCTCAGTATCTCAGTACTTAGAATTCCAATAGCTAACCATCTGGCACTATAATCCAATTCAATATAAATTTATTGAAGAGCAGACATTTTTTTTGGCGCCCATGACAGAAATCAATCAAATTTAAGGGTTGATTTCCGAAACAGATATCTGAAACTGTGAAGCGAGAGCAACCCCCAGAAAAACAGTTGATGGATTGCTGTCATTAGCATCCGAGCTGAGGCGCTGCACGCCTACAGTAAGGACTGACCAATGATGAACAAGGTCTGGTCTGTGCGGCTGTGCAAAAGGGATGAGCTAAGATGGCAGCGATCAAGAGCAGGAAGTGCGGCATTAAAATACAAACTTGAAGCGACCGCATGCAAATGACTAATTCGTTAATTGAAATGCCAATCAAGAGGGAAAAATAAATGCAGAAAAAAAATAAAAGTAAAGAAAAAACTGTTCAGTTTTAGCCACATCATGTCAGAGATTGATAGCCGGTAGCCGCGGACTTGATGTTAAAAATTGAAAGCCGCCGCGTAGCTGTTGCGTGAAAGGAAAAATTGGCCGTCCAGTTGGCCCAGTGTCTCCGGCAGTGTTTGTGTATGCGAACTCATTAGGCAGCAAACGTAAATCATTTCGATATCGATTAAGAAATATCCACCGAAAGCGGCCACCGCACGCAACGCCATCCGGCATTGGCGCCTGCGCAGCTGCCGGTGCAGCCCGGCAGCTCTGCAGCTCCTACTCCCGGCCAGGTCTCGTTTGGCCAGCTCGTGCGGCGACAGTGTGCACATCAATTAATGAACCTGTCGCGCCATGCGTAAATTTGTCGCCAGCGGAGCGCGGTGCAAGCCCAGAGAATGCAGCTGCCTCGCCCCAACCCCAACATGCTGACTCTGGCGAGTGCAGCTGGCGGTGATCTTGAGCATGGCTGTGGCACCAGGCACTGGGATCCAACTTGACCTGCTTGTCAATCAAGCAAATCATTTTGGCGGCATTGGAATTCACTTGGTTTTCACATGACTGTGCACACCTGTCATAATCAATCACATCTCGCTGCGATTATAATGCATCAATTATCGGCCAAACTAGGCGCGTGTGAACATTCGCTACTGCCCCAGTCCTCGTCCCCCCCCTTCCACAGTCCCACCGGGCAAGACTCGACTTATCTATATATATGTACATATGTATATGCATATTGATGGACATGACTGTAAGCTTCGATGTCTGGGGCATGAGAGACTGAATTGATATTGATATTGAATATCCGGTTGTGGCCACAGCAATAGCCTTGAATGTTAAGTATTTAATTAGCTTATTGACTAATATTTTCCTGATAGATTTAGGCAAACGCTTTGAGACAACATTATGGATTGCCTCTTAATTGATCTCAATCCAAACTTTGCTTTATTGTTATTAATTAAAGAAAACGGGGGATTAATAACTCTATAAATATTACTGGAATATATATATATCCTAATTTATTTTACATACATATATATGTATATCCCCCTGAACCTCATCTTCCCAAGGGCACTTTAATGGGTTAATGGGTCATATATATCTCTAGCCAAGAAACTTAAAAGATGAATATGTAAGAGCTGCTGTAAGTTAGTCTGTAGCTACATTAACTTGGCTTTTGAGCTAAGGCTGACATAATCAGCCTGTTGCTTAATTTGATGTGCCTTCTTGTCAAGCATTTCTAATGGGTAAAGGGGTATAAGAAAACTTGAATTAATATCTCAATTAAAAAGTGTCAGACCCG